AATTCTATGTACAAAACCAATCGACAACCATGTATTTATCTTGGTTATCATAAGTATTCTAACTGGAAAATATTTTTTTCTAAAAATTAAAATCGAGTTAACCCTTCAAATGCATTTTCTAAATAAACGAACTTAATTGTATTATTTTTAATCCTAATACATTTTTAATTCATCATGTTTTGTTGTAATTGTTTTAAAAATAATTTAAACATATATCTGTGGTTGTTTTACTTTTTTTACAAGCTGCATGAATTGTTTTATTTTTCATCCTCATAAAAATCGTGCTCCGAAACGTTCCATGAATAGTACACGACTGTAAAGTCACATGAAATGGAGAAAATGATTCGTAACTGGGGAAGCTAGGCCTTGCTGATATACCCCTGTAAATATTGTTCCCGTGCAGCTGCTTTGAAAACAAAAGGGTTTTTAGATGACTCACTATTTGTATTTAAATTAAACAGATTTACAAGATATCAAAGAAACACCCTGACGTGACCCGGAATTGGCGACTTCACTGTAATACGATGATTTATTTCTTGATAAGCATTAAACAATGTTCAATTATTTAAATTAAAAAAAAAAACATTCTGAGTTGTTCGTCCGAAATTTCATGTAATACTTGACTCTGCCTAAATAATGAGTTGAACAATCAAAGAGATCTTATGTCGGGGCATGTATTGTTTACGATGGACGCATCGGTCAAACTAGATCGTGACGTAACGTAAAACTTTACAGTCGACTGCAAACAATAATAAGACCTCCTGAAGCAAAGTTGCCAAAGCAGAGTCAAGACGCTGCCATAATTTTTTTTATGATTTTCTGCGATTTTTGAATAGTTACGGTAAGCACTTATCATCAATCGGTTGCCAAAATGTACCTGCATTTACACGTATTTCCCTCCTTACATGTGTACAATTGCACACACGTACGAGACATAATATACTATGAATTTATTTTTAGAAAGTTCAATAATTTAAAGAATGCCGATGTTTCGTACAATTACCGATCAATAAAACCAGTGTAAAAGAGATTACTACAATTGAAACAAAAAAAATAAACATCTCTGAAAATTACTTAAGACAGTGGTGATCAAGGAAAAACAGATTTTACTTAGCTCTCGAAATTAAGAGGTACATGGTAAAATACCGTAAGAGGCGGAAAATAAAAAAAAACATCATCTCGGAAAAGCAGCTAAACTTGTTTAGGAAACGCAAGATTTTTGTTTAGGAAAAGTTGTGTGGAATCGGAATCGCAGAAAAGAGAAACTGTGAAAAGAACATTTTTGTGTGACTCCACCATGCTACAAAACATTCTCGCAGCTTTACATTAATAACATACAACTTAGTGTGTGCAACTGCACATATAGTCAATTTTAAATTTGTGGTGTGGTTTCAGAACTTTTAGAAGTCTTCTTGGGAAACTGAGTGACAAGGTTACATCATAGAAGAGAACACACCCCTTCCTCCCCACTACATCCCCCCCCCCCGCCCCCAAGACACAATATTTTTGAAAACCGTTCCATACATTTAATATATTCATAGCAAAGCTAAAACTAATGTCTTTTCATCACGTTTAATACAAAAAATATTTTAATTTTGACATATTTGATATAGGAACGTACAAGTAATTTATATTATAACAGAATATAGTAAGTCAACATCAATAAAACTGAACTCTTAGTTATTAATTAAGGGACGGTCATTTATTTATTTAAATTTATGGTAGGGATCGGTTCTTTTCAGATAATTTACTTTTATACCGCTGTATGACAGCACGTGTGTTTCAGAGACAATTTTATTTCCCTGTAAATTTGACAAGCATGACAATCAAACCTACATACAGTGTTTTGGACTGGTGTTAATACCCCCAGTCAAGGTCAGATTAGACTTCATTACTTCATTCCCAGAGGAGGATAGCATATTTATTTGCAATATATATAATGGCGATATGCCTGTTTGTTTGTTTTTTGAAAACCTGCTACCCCCTTTCGAAAATAAAATGCTCGTTCGTGTAAGAAGCTGTAAATCGATAATATTTCTCATAATTTTAGCGATTATAAAACAAGTTTTATTACTGACAATGCAATGTGATAAAAAAAAGTTTTAAGCACACTGAGGTTTCTCTTTCCTAGCAATAAAATTAATTAAGTTTATCGTGAAAATGGAAATCTGAAGTCGGCCTTTCGCACATTTAGTCTAACAAATTAATAGACTAAATGTGCGAAAGGCCGACTTCATGATTGCCATTTTCACGATAAACTGAATTAATTTTATTGCTAGGAAAAAGAAACCTCAGGTTGTTACAATCTTATCTCGTGCAATTGTACTTGAAAAGATTTATAGAAGACAGTTCACCCTTTTATGCATTTTCTTTTAATATCGTCAATTGAAATTCAATTGTATTTACTTATTTACCGCTGTCTGTGTTGACCAGGAAAGTCGAAAGAAAATTCCGAATCCAATTTACAATTGATAGGTAAAATAAGGAGAGCAAGTAAAATAAGAAAAAAATGCAAGTGCAAGCCAGTTAAAATGAATATTTATTCATCTGTTCATTTGCACCCACTTATATACATACATACATACATATATATATATATATATATATATATATATATATATATATATATATATATATATATATATATTAAAAAATGGTAAAAAGAAAACACAAAAATCCTCAGTTAAGCTTAATTTTAATATTGTTATCCGATTACTGAGACACTATTTAAATTTTGGATATATATATATATATATATATATATATATATATATATATATATATATATATATATACAGACCCTAAACCGTGCTACTACACCTCAAAAACGAACCGTACCGTTCCGTGCAGAAAGCGTACCGTACCGTGAACAACACGTACCGTTCCGTGCAAAAAGCGTACCGTACCGTGAACAAAGCGTACCGTTCCGTGCACAAAGCGTACCGTATCGTTCTCAAAGCGAACCATTCCGTTCGCAAAGCGTACCGTACCGTCCACAAAGCGTACCGTTCCGTGCAAGAAACGAACCGTACCGTTCTTTGGTTAATTATGCAAACCACGCCCCCAATGATTTTTGAATCATGTAATGACCAAATAAGTCATTTTGGTTTATTTCTCGCTACAACGCCTGTGAAAGGAGGACGGGGGTTAACGTTGTGTCTGCCTGTTCGAAAACCATTATCGAGTATCATGCATATGCTTCTGGGCCTTCAACTGTGAAAATAAGGAAACTACTCGAAGCAAAATACAACTTTAAAACAACTGGACAGAGTGTGAGACGATTTCTTATTTGCTATAAATTAGATCAACTGGTTGTGTTTGTGGCCAAACGTACAGTGCAGGCCAGGAGTTTTCCCCGTAAAACACGTACGGGGCATTGTGGACCTCGAACGATGTCGGTGTCTTTGAAGTCTTTCATTTTCTTTATATTAGCAAATTAAATCAGTTTTCTTTTGAAATATTAGTTTTTTGATAATCGTAATTTTTAAAATTATACAGATATTTAAAATAAAATTATAAGGTGCCCCAAAATTCAATATTATCGTGCTCGTGCCCGGGGAAAAAATCCTCTTTCAATGTGTACATGTACATTCATGTTTCATAATCCTATAATTATATTTGACATAAAAATATGTTCAATAGACTATAATACCAATAAGAAAGAACACGCTATCATGAATTTATTCCCTGGTGGTCTCTATTTTTGATTTTAATTTTGCTCATTTAAATTATTAAATCTTATCGGATACAAGATTTTTGTCGTAAGTATGCATTCTTATGTAATACATATCAGATGCGTGATTTTACTAATGAATTATTTTGTAAGAATTATAAAACATAGATTAACTGTCTAGAGTAAAAATTTTAAAAAGAACCGTATTAGACTCTCACATTAATTCCGTTAAGATTTTTACTAAAGGCGAGTCATTGGTGCAGTTTTACTTACACTGAAAATCTGTAATCATGTAAAATATGGATTAAAATATTACATGCGGTAAACGTGAATATTTCTACTGAACTGACAGAGATGATAATCTTACTAATAAAACTGTGATAAACTTTCACGCTGCACATACAAAAATCGCCAGCCGAATTTCTTGCAAATAAAATGTGCAAACTGCAGTATAAATATTACTTCATTCTGAAATACATCTCATGAAAAATGAAAAAAAAAGTTTGCGAAAAAATAAAGATATCATAAGGTTTGTTACACTGTATCCCAATCCCTTTGTAGAAAGCAATACGAATTAGCTGGTCGAAAGTTCTTTAGAAGTCTGCAAAATCGTACGTTGTAAGTAAAAAAATAATAATCTACAGGAAACATCCTTATTAGTGTCTGAAAAAAGATAATTTACTAAATAAAATGAAATTTAAAAAATATCAATCCTGTTTCAAGCCATTCGAGTTATGTTTGTTACACCCCCCCTCCCCTCTAGAAGGCAATACTTATGCAACTTTATGAGACTTTAAATTGTGCTTAAAAAAAAGAAAATTATAATTTAGGGATAGATGCTTCATTTTTGTCTGAAAAAGGATAATTTAAGAAGTAAATTTATAATCAATATTGTGGTGAAACCTGGAAGATGAATTTGCTGGATGTCAGTTGAGTGATTAAATACACTTGATGTGGTCAGAACTAAATAATTGGAAAGGTGTGTTAAACACGCGCATCCCCCCGCCCCTCCGGCTGTGACCCAATATTTTATTTAAACAGGTGTGAACTATAAACTGACCATAAGAATGTTTCAAATAACAGGAGAAATTCTTCTTGCGTAAACAGACTTTCCGGGTTACAAAGCGTCATACCATTTTGATTGACAGGTGATGCACGAGAATTTCATGCGTACAGCATGCATGTACAGAGAACGGATTATTCATTGAACAATAGTTGTAAAGGAGTTGATTAAATGGAATCATAGACTAATTAATTGACTTTAGCGATGTTAATAAATGAAGAATGAGAATAAATACAAGTTATTATTTTTTTTACAGATAATGTATTAAGGGGCTGCATCTTTCTCTCTATCCCCCCTCTCTCTCTCATTCACGACATCGTTTTTACAGACTACAAGAATAGAATAACTTAATAAAATAAAGAAAACTTATTGAAATAATTACTTAATACACTGAAAGGATTATTGAAAACATAAATACTTGTCTGTGAAAAGAAAGTTTTCTGTAGCGATAAAGCGCCCGGAAATTATTGTATTGATTTCATGTTTCTGCTGCCGATTTTCGTATTTATTTTGTTTACTGATATTTTTCTTCTGAAGCTAACATTTGAACGGTAGATCTATTATTTTAAAAATTAAAAAAAAACAATGTACATATCTAATTACTAGGAATAAAAATGAAGCAGGAAGAGTCCTATTTATTTCTATAGATCAATGAATTAAAAATAAGTTACATATGTGCGTAGCGTTATATGTATAGAACAAGTATATACCCGATATATATATTAATTCCTTTTAATTATCTTACAACTTTATTTGAAAGTGAAAAAAAAATATTTATTAAATTTTTTTCCGTTTTAAAATGAATGTTCAGCATATGTAAATAATAAGCACAGACATCTTTACGAGTTCTATATATATTAATACATATCTATACATAATGTCAAAAACATCGATGGGATGATGTTTTTCCTTCCTTTCATTTTTTTTCATTTTTCCTCAATCACCCCTGTAGTGTAAATTAATGTTTAAATTGAAACCGAGAAATTAATTTGTTAAAAGCGGAAATATAATTATATACGTGTATTAAGTACTTCAAAAGTCATTTGAAATGATTTAATTTTTAGCAGCCAATCAAAAATTAAAGCTAACAGGCTCCGCCCACTTCATTTGCATACCGTCTCCCAAAGCGTACCGTTCACAAAACGAACCGTTCCGTGCAAGAAACGAAACGTACCGTCCACAAAGCGTACCGTTCCGTGTACAAAGCGAACCGTTCCGTGAACAAAGCGAACCGTTCAGTGCACAAAGCGTACCGTACCGTTCACAAAACGAACCGTTCCGTTCTTAAAGCGTACCGTTCCGTGCACAAAGCGTACCAAACCGTACCGTTCAAGTGGTGTAGTAGCACGTTTTAGGGTCTATATATATATATATATATATATATATATATATATATATATATATATATATATATATATATATATGTATAACTCATTTGTATATAACTCATTTATATAACCCCCAACAACTCTGTTGCAATGTATGGGGGAAAAACAACAATACGGAGTCAGTTCAAGTGCCCTGCCCCCCCCCCCCCCCCCATTTTATAATTAAATTAAATTATATACTTAGAGCATACTTACAGTGTAATGAACTTGTAATATGTACAATGTGTACCACTTAATATACACAAAGGCATTGGTTTTTATTTATAATACCATTTTATGTAATACACTAAAAATAATGATGCTCACTTATATGATCTTTATGCAATCGGGTATACGAGATATTGATATTTACGTAGCGACAATGACTAGATCTGTTGGACAACTTTCCTTGAAAAAAAATAAATCTGTCATATTTTCTTTCTTTTTTTGGATTTCAGAACGTATTTAAGAAGGAAAATGCAACAATGTGTTTGTTAACAATTTTACACAGACATTTGTTTTATTTTAAATAAGTGGATCGATTGATGTTACTTGATCAACCAGACACCTCCATATTGAGGGTGAAAACAATTAAATTTTCTTGTCCACATAATTAGGGCCCCGCTCGGCGGGCGCCCTATAGTGATCAGTCTGTCCGTCCGTCCGTCCGAGATCTCTTGTCCGGGGCATATCTTCTCTCTCCTTGGCCCAATCTGGCTCATACTTCACCCACAGAGTGCCTTTGGGTAACCGGTGTGCAGTGACCTTGAACCAGATTTCTAGGTCAAAGGTCAAGGTCCATAGCTGAATTATATGAAAAATCCTTGTCTGGAGCATATCATCTCTCTCCTTGGCCCAACTGGCCCATACATCACCCACAGAATGTCTTTGGGAAAGCAATGTTCAGTGACCTTGAACCAGCTTTCTAGGTCAAAGGTCAAAGTCATAGATAATTAAATGAAAAATCCTTGACCAGAGCATATCTTCTCTCTCCTTGGCCATATTCAGTTCATACTTCACCCACAGAGTGCCTTTGTGTAACCGATGTGCAGTGACCTTGAACCAAGTATCTAGGTTGAAGATCAAGGTCATAGCAGAATTATATGAAAAATCCTTGTCTGGAGCATATCTTCTCTCTCCTTGGCCATAACTAGCTCATACTTCATCCAGAGAGTGTCTTTGGGTAACTGGGGTGCGGCGACCTTGAACAAAGTTTCTAGGTCAAAGGTCAAGGTCATAGCAGAATGATATGAAAAATCCTAGTCTGGAGTATATTTTTTCTTTTGTTTGCCCAATCTGGCTATTACTTCACTCATAGAGATCCTCTGGTCAATGGATGTGCAGTGACCTTGGTCAAAGTTTCTAGGTCATGGTCTGAATTACCCTTTCTGTTTAAAATCTTTGTTTGGTGCATAATTCTTTGCCTTAATTCCAGTTAATTTATATAACTTGGGATACAAGATAATTTCGATAAATATTAGAAAATTTGCAGTATCTGTGAAGTCGTACTAAATGACTTTTACTGTATAACACAAATGTTCCTCTTCAAAATAATCCCTTTTAAAGGACCTTACATTTTCATGTTCATTGTTGAATGCGGGGCCCTTTGAGATGGCCACCATCTCAATGATATTTAGTTTCAGGATCTCTTCACAATTATAAATTGTCATATATCTTTCAAATTACTTTTCCTTAGGAATTTTGAAGTTCTAAATAAATATTATTAATGGCAACTTAAAAAAATAGGGAAAAAAACGTGAATTGTTTTACGCGATCCATTGTGACGTCATCTATGAGTTTATTGCGTAATATTCATACTTGTATAATATTGATAATCATTCCAGGCGAAAAACAAACAATTATATCAGTTGCAAAAAAAACATTAAAAAGGGTTAAAAATCTTGATTATTTGCACATTTTTCTTATCTGCGAACTTTTACAACAATATTTTTTTCTTTATATATATATATATATATATATATATTTTTTTTTTCTTTTTTGGGGCGGGGGGTCAGTTGATACTTCAATCGTTTAGCATGCTGATCTAAAGTTATCCCTATCGGTAATTTCTACCTGAAGGGTGGCTAAAATATATTGTCTACCTAATTTATTGTTAAATCTTTGTTCTTCAAGATAATGAGTCGACTTAATTACTCATTCTGAAAACTTTTTAATTTTTTTTACATAAATTACGGTGCCTTTAATTAAAAAAATAAGTTCACATTAGATTCCTCATCTAGATACTCAGAATAACACATAGACATAATTTAATATTGGCCACAACAAACGCGATTCACAAGGTGTTGTAAAATCGAAAAATTGTTGCGTTTTAAAAAAATATATATGTAAGTTTCATGAATCGCGTTCATTGCGGCCACAGTAAATTTTGAGATCAAAGATATAAAAACTGCCATTTTTTAAGAATATATTGATACATTGTATGGTTTTGAAATTTACGTAGCGTTTTTGTAACTTTTTTTACATCCGTGATCAGATAGACCAGATCGTGTACAAGATATATCACACTTTATTTCTGAAGATGTAATAGTTTATTTTTTTTTTTTTACGAATTTACTAGGCCGATAGTGGTTACAACCGTATTTTGTTCTTTGTGATTTTTCTTGGTTATTTATTTTTACTGGCAGTTGGTTTTTTTCACAGTTTTTACATTTTGACTAATACATTAATATATTTAAGTTTTGATAAAGTTTAACCAGTATTTTGAGGTATCTATCGTTTAAATTTACAATTACTTTAAAGACAGATTTGAATCAAAAATGGGAAAGGAGAATCAATTCCTGTTAGTGTGGTTTCTGCAGATCTTAATCTTTAGTTTTGCTTTTGTTCAATTTGTCTTTAGTTTTTTCCCCTGTTTTGAGTTAAGTTTGCTTGTTTCTTTTATCAATAAGTAAATGTACATGAACTATGAATCTATGACATTACAAAGTATACATTTTACTCAGCAAAACTGCTACTTCCAGCTTGAAAAGATGATGAAGGGTATGATGGAGAGGGTCTGCCGCACGTCCGTCTGTCTGTCAGTTTCGCTTCGGGGTTCCCATCTCTTATTCGCAACTCCTCTTATTCGCTTTACCACTGAGTGAAATTAAATTACACTTTCACAAAGTCTGTATTACATATTGCCATTGTGCCCCTCCTATTTTACTTTTCGATCCGACAGGTATTTTAGGATTTTCATGGCAAAAGATTGACATTGCGTTTATATTCTTACATATGACGTGAGATATGGCGGCTTCTGAATAACATTAGGTACCACAAGTCATTTTTCTTTACACATTTCCGTAAAACAAAATCGCAAAACTTGTACAGTATAAGAGATTGGAGGAGGGGGGGGGGGGGGCTATAAATATTTATTGAGCTCATTGCATATAGCACACGTACCTCTAGTTTTATTTTATTTCACAAAATATTAATCATAGACTATCTTTTTATAAACTATAATTTTGAAGTTCATTTTGATTTATTCTTATTTTGTTATATTTATATTCATAATATATGTGCTGTTTGTGTTTTGATACCTGTTATCGTAATTTTAACTGTATTATGTGTGAATATCGTTATTTATTTTTTTTTTATCTTACTTATATTGTCAGTCAAAAGCTGTGGGAATGATAAACCCATACTATTTTTAAAATTAAGTAATTGACGGCAGGCCCTAATTTTGAATATTTTCATTCATTAATGTCATAAATTGTGTGTGCAGATGTATTTTCTTAAAACGTTTTCCATCAATATCAAAAAGACTTCCGAAGTCATTTGGGCTTAAAGATAAATAAATCGAATGCAAAAACTGTGAAATGAAAAATGGAAGCTTTCTGAAAGCAAGTGTTATCCTTTATATGACAAAATATGAAACAATTTAATTTTCTGATTTATTTTTCTGAAAATGTACAGTAAGAAAGGATGTGTCGTGATAAGACTTATCAGTGTCATGGTATTACGTTCTGAATTTAATTTCAACATAACTCTTTCATATAATATGAACCACTTAAGTCTAAATTTCGTATACTTTATGAAAATGCTTTACAGTATTTTTACAGAAATGGAAAGATCGATAATCAAGACATGATGCACCCATATTTTCTTCAAGAAAATTGATTAGGATACACATATATAATGTAACTATTGGTCTCGAAAAGATGCTTACCTGCTTTTGTTTTACTTTGGAAAAAAAATTGTTGTTCTTTTTTGGATTTATTCTTCGTCACCTTTGGTTCACTATGGGCACAATATGTAGTAATAAATTGTTCGTGTTCTTCTTGTCCACTACATCCATCTGTTCTTTTTACTGTATTGAAATTGAAGCGTTACATGTATTCATAGTTTTTGAAGATCAATCAATATGGCAGTGTATTGATTGAGGGTTTCCCACAGAGCGAATTTACTGGACACGGTGGGACACCGAGGACTTTGCAGAAGGGTAAAACGTACGCTTAACTAGGACATCAGGTCCCCCGTGAATAGTTCGTCAGTTTGCGTAGTAATAAAACATTTTAGGAACTCTTCAGGCATTAAAGGCACAAAGGTATATTAATCGATGTCAATACGGAGACCTCAGGTCACCTTATGTATTTATTGAATTTTATATGATGGACAGTTTTCTTTCTCTTACTCCAAAATAATCATATCTGTAACTTTATACAGATCAACTTTCTAATATTTATATTTGCAAAACGATAAAGTAATTAGGGGAACTAGAAGTAACCATATATTGTACATCAGTAGGAAGACCAATAGTCACGTTATATTGTACATCATTAGAGGGGTCATATCTCACCTTACATTTTAAATTAATAGGGGGATGGATGGTATCCTTTTATTGCACGTCGTAAGAGTGACCTAAGGATTCCTTATTTTGTACATCATTTGGGGGACCACAAGTCACCTTATATTGTACATGTTAAAGTGGACTAGTGGTCACTTTATCTTGTACATCAGTAGCTAGGGGAACAATAGGTTATCTTATATTGTACATCAATAAGGTGACCGGAAGACACCTTATATTGAACATCAATAAGGGGATCGGAGGTCACTATATATCGTACGTGATTAGGGGGACGAGAGGTCACCTTATATTGTATATCAGTATGGGGACCAGAGGACACCATATATTAATTGTACTTCTGTTGAGGGACCAGGGACATGATTAGGAGGACTAGAGGACACCTGATATTATACATCAGTACGGGGACCAGAGGGCACCATATATTGTACATCTGTAGAGGGACCATGAGACACCTTATATTGTGCATGTTTGGGGGGACTAGAAGTCACCTTATATTGTACATCACTAGGGGGACCAGAGGTCATCTTATGTCGTATATCAGTACGGGGACCAGAGGTTATCTTATATTGTACATCAGTAGGGGGACCAGAGGTAACCTTATATTGTACATCAATATAGAGACCAGAGGTGATCTTATATTGTACATTATAAAGGAGACCAGAGGTCACCTTATATTGAACATTCGTAAGAAGACCAGAGGTCTCCTTATATTGTACATGATTAGGGGGACGAGAGATTATCTGATATTGTTTATCGGTATGGGGACTAGAGGTCACCTTATATTGTACATGATTAAGGGGACTAGAGATCACCATATATTTTATATCAGTAGGGGGACCAGAGGTCACCTTATATTGTACATATGTAGGGGGACCAGGGGGCACCTTATATTGAGTTTTAGTAGGGAATTTCAGTAGGGTAACCTGAGGTCACCTTTTATTGTATATCAGTAGTGGGACCAGAGGTCTCTTTATATTATACATCAGTAGGGGGACCTGAAGACAACTTGCATTTTACATCAGTGATGAGACTAGTTGTTATCTTATATTGTATATAAGTAGGGAGACCAGAGGATACCTTATATTGTACATATTGTACATCTGTAGGGGGAACAGGGGACACCTTATATTTATTTTAGTAGGGGACTTCAGTGGGGGACCTGAGGTCACCTTATGTTGCACATTAGTAAGGGGAACAGAGGTCACCGTATATTATACACCTGTAAGGGGACCAGAGGACACCTTATATTGCATTTTACATCAATGGGGGATCAGAGGTTATCTTATATTGTACATTAGTAGGGGGACCAGAGGTCATCTTATATTGTATATCAGTAGGGGGACCAGAGGTCATCTTATATTGTACATCAGTACGGGGACCAGAGGTCACCTTATATTGTTCATCAGTAGGGGGACCAGAGGTCACCTTATATTGTACATCAATAAGGAGACCAGAGGTTACCTTATATTGTACATCAATAAGGAGACCAGAGGTCACCTTATATTGAACATTCATAAGATTGATTGATTGTATACCCTTAAACGTCCCTCTCCAGAATATTTCACTGATATTGAGACGTCACCATTGCCGTTGAAGGGCTGCAAATATAGGCCTATGCTAGGCACTTACGGCCTTTGAGCAGGGAGGGATCTTTATCGTGCCACATCTGCTTTGACACGGGGCCTCGGTTTATACGGACTCATCCGAAGGACCGCCCAATTTAGTCGCTTTTTATGACAAACAAGGGATTACTGAGAACCTATTCTTACACGGATCCCCATTGGGTCAGATTCATATGAAAACAACATTCATAAGAAGACCAGAGGTCACCTTATATTGTATATGATTAGTGGGGCGAGAGGTTATTTGATAGTGTACATCAATATGGGGAGTAGAGGTCGCCTTATACGAGGTATTTTAAATATTCAATGTCCGCGATGCACGGAAAGAAACAAAATACGCTTTTCAATAATTTAGTGACAATGATTTAATATTATGTTACCTTTTAATTAAAACACATGTCTGTTAATATTTTTTTAATCCAATTTCTGATTGTTTTTTCGAACTCAGTTTTGGGTATAACTCTTTGTGTACTGGATTATGGCATATTCTATGATTTCCTGGACTTGTTAATGCCTTCTGAAAGGTTTGTTTTAAGTATGGAAATTTGGAAACAAATCAAAAGGCGAAAGATCTGGCAAAAAATGTTAATGTGAAAGAACATTAACTTTCTGTTTATCCCCAAGACTCCTTTACTCTTCAGGGTGTTCAGGTTTGCATTCTAGATTCCTCCAGAAATTAAACTGCCTCCCCGAATATGAATTTGAACAACAAGACCACTAATATTTAAGAAAATTGCATATAAATCTGTGTTTGTGCTTTTGCAATTCTTTGCTCTTCTCAGACCATCGCTGTTTGTGTCATGTACATCTTATAGTAAATTTTGTTTAGAGGGTTTTAAGCAGATTCTACTTTCATTATCTGTTTGAAATTCAAACAAACTTGGATAATTAATAAAATTACTGATATTTTTAATAATTGTTCAGATTTTCTTACACGCAGTCTTTTACTCCCATTTATTTTAAAACATAGGGTGACTTTTGAGTATTAAGTTTTTTTTATCTGTCAAACGTTTCTTTAAAACAGTTTGAACTACTCCCGAAATGATGTCTTTTAAATTTGCTATGTGTCGTGTAGTCAATCATACACCATCAGTGATTATTTTTTGAAATTTGGCAAACAGTACATCGGTTCTATTATTTTATGTTTGCAAGGACAGTATCCATTTTTGAAGCCCATTATATACCAATAATTTTTCAATCATTTAAATCCACCTGCTAAATTGTCTATAAAACAGACATTGATTGCTGTTAATTTTACATATTTTAACGAGAATTTCTTTGGGATTCTTAACAAGCTTTACAACAGCTTTAATGAACGGTTTAATTTCACTCTAGATTACTGATTCTTTAACATTTATGTTTTTATGTAGTGTCTCGAATACCCTTGTTTTCCAGCTTCTCATTATGAAACTAAGCGATGAAAATTTGTCACATAAACTGTTAAAAATTAATTAAAAATTAATTATCGAGAGGAAGGCAAGCTTAATGCTATATGATATCTGTATTGTATTTCATAGAGTTCAGGACATTATTCATTGAACAGCCCTCATATCGACATCAGTAGGGGGACAAGAGGTACCTTATATTGTACATCATTAAACCTAATGATCACACTATTTTAAACGACAATGAAAAAACCGGAATACACTTTACATTTTAAATCAATAAGAAGACCAGGGGATCATCTTATATTGAAAGTCAACAGGGAGACTAAAAGACACCTAATATTTTACATAAATATTGAGACCAAAAACTCCTTATTTGGTCACCTGAATCAACTTATTTGACATTCCTATATGATTTTTTCCTGGCGTTTTGCGCTGTGCATTTTGCGTAATTGATTCATTATTTCTTTAAAAAATCTTTCTCTCTGCTCCTGGATATTACTTAAACTAACAACATATAGTCATGATAAGCAAGGGAGCCTCTTCCAGAACTCTAAATTTCAAGGTCCCTGGCTCATTGGTACCATTGAGGGGTAGGGGCTCTAATTGAATACTGTTACTGAATTGATGCTATGAAATTTGTTGTTGGTATAATCAATTTTTTATATTGTGAAATGTATTATCCCAGAATAAGGGTTTTTGTGGTCAATTTGCACTACGAATTATTGCTAATTATCACTGATTACTTAAAATGAACTTTTTTGTTCCCCTACGCTCTATATAGGTATTAAGTAGCCAAACTAGGCATGCTTAGTATATAGTTATGATTATCAATGGTGCTTTTTTTCAAAATTGCGAATGTCATGGAATATGCTCCAAAGTGCGAACAAAATTTAATTGTTTTAAAGTTTTTACATGTTGTTCAGATGACCCATAGGCCTCTTGTCGTGTTCTTATAAAAGAACCTCTAGTATCCCGTTAATATGCATTTTATCTGTAACCTCTGGTCTATTCTTATTTTTTTTTAGATGACTCTTGGCCAAGACGGATCTAGAATCGTTGGTGCCTTATCTCTGCATTCATATTAATTTTATGTTATATCTGTTTTCCTTAAAAAATTACATCAATGGGGGACCACTGGTCTCCCTATTTATGCACAACATAAGGCGATAGCTGGTCCCTCTTGTGTTATAAATTATAAAGTGACCTAAGATCCCCATAATGATCTACAACATAGTTTGACTTTGATCTCATATTGATGTAGAAGGTGACCTCTGTTTCCCCTGATGATGTATAAAATAATCTGACACCTGGTCTTGTACAGTATAAGGTGACCTCTGTCCCTTTCTGTTATACAATGTAGAGGTGACATTTAAACATCATAATAAAAGAAAATATAAAGTGACCTTTGCTCATCCTATTGATGTACAATATTAGTTTATCTCTGGTCCATCTACTGACAATCGATAAAACTGACCGAAAGCTCAGCCTCCTA